CACATATAAGATCATAATATAATATCATATATATCCAACTTTATATATAGACCTGTGTGATAATAGTTACAATTTTTGTAATGACAAATGCAATCTTGAATCAAAATACATTTTAGCAAAAAGCAAAATGATTCAAAGATATCTTATATTCTGAACAATTTATTAAAATTAAGTGGCTATGCTTGAAGCAAAGTAAAAAAATATCTGCCAATGTGGTCAGAAAAGTTATTTAAGCAGGTATTTTTTCTTGTTTAAAGCATAAATTACTTAATTTTGATATTTTTTTAAACAAGAATTAATATCTTAAGTAATTTTGTTTCTAGAAATGACTAGAAAAAAGAGACAAAAATATTGAGTAAGAAGTTTTTTTTTTGCAATGCTGAAGTGATGCAATCACCAAAAAAAAAAGACTACACACCTGTTAAACAAACTAGATCACCTCCACATCTCTATGATTATTCTGGTCTGTAGAAATAATTTGCTTTATTGCTTACCAGGAAAACTTCTTGCATAAATAAATAAGCATGTAATATATAACAATAACAGCACACACACCTCTCCTTAACAAGACACATGATTTACTGCAGGATGAGTTACACACTAAAGTAGGGCTGTGCGATATAGCTAAAAAAATTATCAATGATATAATGTTTCATATAGTTCGCTATCGATAATTATTGACATTTTTTATAACCTTTTTTAAAACAAAACGCAATAGAAAACAAATGTTTACATTTAACCACTGTATTTATTATTAACACAATTTATTGAGACAAACAACAAATATTTTTTGTTTTAACAAACACAATAAAAATTAAACATCTCATTTCTTATGTTTTATATGCAGATTAAATAGGTCTTTATTGTATAAGTCTAATTGTCTCCCAAGGCCACAGGAGGGCGCAAAGAGCAAAAAAATGCAGCGCATTTAAATTGTCAACGCAAGGGAGTAACTATAAAAACGTGCATTACGTCTAAATTAACTCTAAATTAAATCAAATATAGTTTCGTAATTTGCATAAACAATTATGAACAAAACAGCATCATGCATTTATGCATTGCTTAATCCAAAGAGCAGAAGCGCCATTCACACAGACTGCATTTAAAAACCTATGAGACAGCAGTGAAAAGGAATAAACCTCCACAAATTTGTGACGTGTTTTCTACAAGTTTAAACTGTTTTAACTTTGCATGGCTTTCTATACATCTCTTCTGTGAGAGCGCAGCAGTCATATTTGTCCGTCTAAAAATGCGCTGAATATGCGTTCTGTGTGAATGGCTTGGTTTCGGTTTTAACCCATTCAAGATCTTCTCCGCACTGAGTTTCTATATTTCTCTAATATTTTGAATGAATAACGCAGCAGCGGCGCGTCTCGTGGGCTAGACTTACAAAACATTAAAATGCAACATCACTTACATCATCACGCCACTGATGATGCTCCCTGATGTACACCTAACATTCAAATGCAAATGTTTATTTTAAATTCGACTAATATTCATTCTTTATTCACAATCTCCTCATCGCAGGCAGGCACAGCACTCAATTCAGCATGTGTTCATGCTTGTGTGTGCTGTCTGCGTCACTCATAGTACGTGCCTATATCTAACATTTTTATATCGATATCGAAGGTGTACCGTCGATAAATATCGATACCGTTTTATCGCCCAGGCCTACACTAAAGTTTAATTTTTAGAGCTCAAGGACTGTACAAATCACTAACACTAACTATGACCTCTAATATTAGTGATGACTGACTTAAAACACATTGAATAATTGTTGTGTAAAACACCAGGCTGCTCTAATGTTGCCCCAAAAGACATGGGAAGTTCCTTGGATTTGGCTCTCGACTGCAGTAAAAGCACATTTTATACCTCAGTGCCACTGGCATCATGTGTTTCTGCATAGTACTTTTAATATGACTTTTAATAGCAAAGTTCCCCCTCAGGCAGCGAGATGAACTGGGTTAATATACTCACTCTTCAGTCTACGTCGACCATGACCAGTATGTGCGTGTGTGTGTGTGTGTGTGTTCCTAATATAATACAATCTGCAAAAGCCAACAACACTGAATGTCAGAGTTTCCATAAACATAACACATACAATTACAGCAATAACACAAACGCTGTCCTGTGGTTTCCGTTTATAGGTGCACATTACAGAGAGACCTGCTAAACGAGGTGACAGGACACTTCAGACAATTAACACTAATTACCAAATCCATCAATTGCAGGGTCAGCCTAAAACAAGACACCAGCATCCCATAATTCAGCACATATCCTGTTACTGTTTGCTCACACAATGTAACCTGCGCTCTAACTCTAACCAAGCAATTAAACTTCATTATAATCAAACATGATCGTTGTATCCGAGTGATCAGGCTGTTGAGGATCTGGGCAAGGTGATAATTGCTGTGAATGGAATCAGATGACAAGAATAGCATCCCACCCTCGGGCGCAAACAGAGCCGGCGTTGTGTGGACCAGACAGTTGGGGAAATGTAAAAATGGGACTAAATATCACTAAATCTGCTTGGCTTTCTGTCACAACACAGTCCATAAAACAAATGTTCATGCAAACATGACTAAAATGCAAGATGCATGCCAGAAACCAGCATTTTTAATTCTTTTTTGCGATATGATTAATACAAAATACATCTTTCACCCTAACTCAAATAAAATATGGAAGCCTAAATTTAAGATTTATGTATTTGAATTGCATATAAAATATACATCCGTTTGGACTGCAGTTTAAATATAAACAAACTAATAAACTTAATGTGATGCAAATAAATAAACATAGCATAGCTTATAATTAATTATATGCATCTACACGCATTTAATAGAAACAAACTATAAAATTAATATGATGCAAATAAATAAACTACAATTAAATAAATGAAAAAACATGGCATAGTTTATTATTAACTGTATGCATCTTTATGCATTTAATACAATCTATTAAACATAATGTGATGCAAATAAATAAATGAATGGTAGAAACTATTTTCACTTGTAAATTTTACAATTAATTACAAAGAAATTGCAAGTAACACATTGAATTGATCATGAAATTCTAAAGTATAAAAAATAGTATTTTCTTGCAAAATGTACTCCAATGATATTTGTTTTGTCTAAATTCGAAAAATAATTTTTACAGTGCATTAAATAAATCTGACCTGCTTCATTTGACTAACAAATATGCATCACATTAAGTTTATTAGTTTAAGTTAAATATTTTTAGAAACACAAGCGTCCTCTTTTACACGAGTCACCTGGAGGCGAGAGTGAGGACAAATTGCGGTCACTTCCTCACCGTATCGGCCCATCTCTCACATAAAAATCACATAGCTTTGCTGAACAAGAAAAGGTTTTTTAGAGAAGCGCTGCCCTCCATTAGGGTCATCCTGCTGCCATCTCTGCATATCAACTCTATTTCACTCCAAAATCCGAGTCCTGACCCCTCGCCTGTTCGAGGACCGTATCCATTGTAAAGCTGGAATGCATTGATCCGTCCGGGAGACGACGGTCTGATAAATGTGCGGATGAAGAGGCGTGCCGGCGTTCAGATAGCATCAGGTGTCTCAGAAACAAACCGCTTTATCAGAGAGGAACAACTGCTGTCAACACTACACACCGGCACACAAACAACCAATAAACACACTAGCGTATGAGAGTATTATGATATATACCACCAATTATTATTCTAGTAACACATGCTACTCTATTTTTTTTTTTGAAATACCATGGCAATACAACAGTAAATGTACAAAAAAAACACATATTTGCTGTGGTACATGTCCAGAAAAACATGACATTTCCATGGTAAATGTGCAAAAAACTCAAAATACCGTGACATTACTAGAGTACATATTCAAATATGGTATTATCATGGTATTCTTATAATATTATTATATTAATTCACCATGGTATATGCATGACATTTCATGACATATAAAAATACAATGACTTTACCATGGTAAATGTCCCAAAAAAAAAACATGGTATCACCAATGGTTTTCCCATAGTATTTGTCCAAAAAATTGTGATATCATGGTACTCCAAGAAATACCATGACATTACCATGGAATATATTAAAAACATGGTATTATCTTTTTTTTTTACATGCAATGATACTGAATGATTGTCATGTTAATTTACCATGGTATTTATATCATATCATACTTTGTGAAATTTAAAACAATAAAATTGCATTGCCAATGGTAAATATATCCAAAAAACATGGTATCACCAAGGCACATATCCAGAAAAACACAAAAAATTGCGATAGCATGGTACTCCAAGAAATACCATGGCATTACTATGGAATATATTATAAAGCACGGTATTATCATGGTACTTTGTTACATACAATGGTACTGAATGATTACCATATTCATTTACAATATTATTTGCATCACACCTTGTGGTATTTAAAAGAATACAACGGCATTGCCATGGTAAACGTCCAAAAAACATGGTATTGCCATAGTATGTGTCCAAAAAAATTGCAATATCATGGTTTTTCAAGAAATATAATGAAATTATCATGGTACATATTTAAAAAACATGGTATTATCATTGTACTTTGTCACATACAATGGTAATAAAAATTACCATGTTAATCTACCATGGTATTTACATCATACCTTGTAGCGTTTCAAAGAATACAATGGTATTACCATGGTAAACGTACAAAAAAACATAGTATCATCATAGTACATGGCCAAGAAAACATGGTATTGCCATAGTATGTGTCCAAAAAATGTGGTATCATGGTACTCCAAAAATGCCATGACATTACTATGGTACATATTCCAAAATCATGGTTTTATCGTGGTACTTTGATACATACCATAGTACTGAAATAGACTGCCATATTAATTTACCATGCATGATACTGCATTTAAAAGAATGCAATGGCATTACCATAGTGCATGGTAATATCATTGTAAGTTTTTGATATTTTCATAATGCATACTGTTATGAAGAGCGTCCTCATACCTAATAATGTCGTCGTTGTGTCCCAAGTAAAACTTCTGTGTGTGATCTCTTGTGTTGTAAACCACTCCGACTCCAGCCACGAAATACACGACCTCCTTCCCCGCGGTGTAGTACAGGTTATTCCTGCACTGATGTCCTCTGTATCCATGAATCCACTCCAGCCTCAGCTGACAGCGGGGAGCCGTCTTATCTGCCATGCTCTCAGGATCTGCAATGGTCTACCATTCACAAAAGTGCCATTTAGTGGACTTTCTTTGGGTGTCGAAGACACAATGGTGATGGGTCACCTCTTGTAGGGTTGGAACCTACAGCCTTTTAGACACCGGTTCAGATCTTTAACCACTAGGCAACACCAACCCTCAACCCTACGGCACTGCCACCATTCAACGCCCTCTTGAAGTTCATGCATGCAGCACGGGCATCATAACTGGAACACAAGCTGGGTCACCTGTACAGGGAAGGGTGTCTGAAGATCCCAATGGGTGGCATGAAGAAATCAGGCTAAAATGATGGGAAAATGTTGAAATTTGGATCCAGATTAAAGGGAATGCAGTCAAGAGTGGCTACAAATGTTCATACTGGAATAGTTGGTCACACCTACAGCCATTGCATGGGTTTCCAGAGTATAAAAGCCTTTAAAAAGCACGCTGAATCTGTGCATTACCTTAAAAACAACTCTAGCAGTTGATCTTGATCCAAATGCATCTACAACACGCTGGACACCTTCAACACACTGAGGTCTGGACGTCTTTAAAGGGCTGCAGAGACTTCAGGTCTTCACCGAGGAGGCACAGCTCAAAGCCATCGTGCTATTAATCTTCTCTAAAGGGCAGAAGTCGGCGTGTTTGCCTCCGGGATTTCCGAAAACCTCCACGATTTCAGCCGTCAGACGATTCTCGACCGCCCAGCATCGCGCCGACGATCAGACCTTCCCCAAAAACGTCTTCATGCTCTTCAACTTTCGCCTGGAGATCTTCAATTCCCGGTGATCCTCAAGCAAACTCTTCCATTCCTCGCGTGATCCGGATCACTGAATCATCAGCAACCGGGTGTGAGGTGCAACTATCCTCATTCTTAAACGGAGGAAAAGAGCCGCGCGAGCTGGTTTAGGTGGATTAATCCCTCCACCGCGAACTCAGCGCAGCGTTGAGGGCGTAAAGGCGCTTTGAGTTGAGTTATTGACGTAATATTTTGGAGAATATGATTTCTGGTTTCTAGTAAGCCATTCGGCTTGGTTACTACGACGCCTTGTGGCCCGTTTCCGATTATGCCGACCAGCGGAGAAAGCTGCGCAGCGCAAGGAATCATGGGATTTGTAGTTCTAAACGGTCTCCAGTGACGCTCTGCCGCGCGAAAATGACTTCAAACCCCATGAGCGCTCAGGACGCGCTGTCCAAGGTGCTGAACATACGGGTCTTCAGCCAAGAACATTCTTACCCTATCCATCTGAGAGCCAGCAATAAGGTTTTGCTATATATTATATATTATATTATATTATATTATATTATATTATATTATATTATATTATATTATATTATATTATGTTATATT